TTTCTCTATATACTATAACTAATATATAATCCTATATTTTTTTATTTTTGTGTTTTATTCAAAAGAAAGAAAAAATAAAAATATACCTTAAATATGCTTGGTATTTCCTTTGAAAAAATAAGAGAAGAAGATCCTCTTTAATTACATTTGGTTCGGGATTTATACTCGAAAATTTACATAGGTTTAGCATAAAATAATCAAAAGTAAAACCTAATCTAATGTTGGGTTATTGTTTGTGATGATGGTGAGCTTTTAATTCCCGGATTTAATCTCTGACAGGTAGCTGATCAGCACGGCTGTGACAGTGGCAGGATGCTGGAAATAACGGCGGTGGATGAATGAATGTTACATTAGGGTTAGGGTTAGGTTAGGGTTTGGATATGGGTTTGGGCACAGAGAGAAAAATGGTGCTTACAGAAGTCATGAACAAACATTGAGGTTTTCAATTGCTCATTTTCTTCCATTACTTCCACCACTATCTGAGCTTAAATTTTACCTATATTTATCAGACATCAATCTCTTTCCCTTTATCAAACCAAACTTTAGTCAACCTAAAGTATGTCTCTTTCACCACACTCGCTATTGGGATATGACACAGAAGTCATGAACAAACATTGAGGTTTTCAATTGCTCATTTTCTTCCATTACTTCCACCACTATCTGAGCTTAAATTTTACCTATATTTATCAGACACTCAATCTCTTTCCCTTTATCAAACCAAACTTTAGTCAACCTAAAGTATGTCTCTTTCACCACACTCGCTATTGGGATATGACATTTTGGTACTGAATTAATAGCCACATCTAGATTTGATGTCATATGTTTTTATCGTTGAACACCATCGTATGCTTGCAACCATTTTTCTCGCTCAATTTTCGAAGCCTGCTTCTAAATACGCTCATCATAAACCTTTAAATTCTCATTCTCTTATCAAAATTTGGTTGGGGTACTTCATATCCTGTTTTATAATATATATGGTGTTAACATCAATTAAAAAACACATAAATGGATACACACGTTGAAAATAAAACTTACCCATGCTGACTATCTCACTATGAATGTGGCCGCTATGAAACTTCTCGATACAGTTCTTACCAATATAGCTGATACAATATGCAGGATATGCGTGCGGAGGTGTCCAGCGACTTCCAAGTCATTCAATTACTACCAAAAGGCCTATTTCTCGATCGAATATCAAGCAAACTCCATCTTCTTGAACAACATACTTACGTATATTAGTCAAAAAGAAATCTCAAGCCTCTACCATCTGTCCTTCAACAATGTCAAATACAATCAGTAAGATATTTCGTTGACCATCATGCGCAATTGCTATCAATAATATATGATTATATTGATCGTACAACCGCGTGCCATCTACTTGGACCATACGTTTGCAAAATGGAAATCCTTCTATGCATAACTTGAATGCCCAAAAGAGTCTATGGAATATTCTCTTCCCTTGAAGAAGTTGACCTTTTAGGTTGTATGCAGACATGGTTTGAGATTTCACTATTGTTCTCTAGATGAATCATTTCATAGCTTATAACAAATCAAGAACTCATTGTATGATGTATCAAAATCGTCATACATCAACCTCATTGCATTTTTATTCGCATGTCAAATTGGTTTGTAGTTTACATTGTATCTGAACTAGTCTTGAATAGATGTTACTAACATTGAACAATGGGTCCTTGGATTTTGTTCAACCAACATCTTCACATATTGACATATTACATCAAATTCCAATAGTCGATGGTCTTGTTCGATGGAGTTTCGCAAACATGTGTGCGGACCATTGTACTTTGTGATGGCCCAAGCATCTTGCCTCTGCATTTTGGACACTCTGATCAGCCACTTACACTCGGGCCTATATTGAACACACTTCGCACATAGAGTTTTCTGGTTAGACTGTGCAACCTTGCAATCTACATGGCCTTCTATGCAATACTCTTTAGTCTCTAATGTAACTTCTTTTTTTATCTAAATTACTTCCCAACTGATAATTCACTAGAGTTTTTAGATGGTTCAGTCATGTGGCCTAAAGTTAAATGTGACATCTGTAGAAATTCAGGTGCCCTTATAACATCATAATTTATCTCGTACATATGAGGGGTAGGTTAATACGATATCGGATATTCAGCAATGGTTATATCAGGTTCATCACCACCGAAAATAACATCATCGTAAGCCAAAACGGGTTCCTCAATTTCTTTATCTTCGTTGGAATCATGTATTTCTCCCTAGCGATTTTTAGCGTCAACATCAATAGTTAATTTCGGATGATGTATGCTTCTTGCCCCATACTATGTTATTGTGGATGTTCCACCGACTTCATTTGTACTTTCCAACATCACCACGAAACTATTTATCGACCTAAACGTAGGGTCCTCAAACTCATTTTGAAAGCCATTTGAGATGAATTTCCAACTATATTTCTTGATGAACTAGGAACATCAGATATATTACGCACCTCAACAAATAACTCAATAATTGGAATATATGTTGAGTCATGTAATTCAATCATGGTTGTAATATCATCATCTTCTCCAAGTGGCAATGCAACATACCTAACTGAATTAGGACATACCATAAATATGTACCTCAAACCATTAATTGTAACTCATATTTTCTTTCTATCCTCTCATTCATTTCTAAAAATGTGATGTCTCTTTTAATCATCATATTTATAGGTCTTTCAAACTGAAAAATAACTCCGACCTCATTTTTCATAATCTGTCCATTTATAATGGACAACCATGAAAACATTGTTGCTCATTTTCTCTACATATAAAAAATATATTCAAAATAAATAAAAAAAAAATTTGTGACATATTATATATTAAATTAAAGTTATGATTTAAATTAAAATAAAATTAATTACTAAGAATATTATTAATTATAATAAATACTATTAAAGTTATTGTTCAATTTTGAATTTTTAGTCATTATTTAAATATGTTCATCATCACATGAGCTGACTTATGATCAAATTTATTAACAATATTTTTTATAACTACTAATAATGATCTAATTATTTTAACATTTCTACTACACATACTAAATCAGTATTGATAAAATTATAATAATGATTTGTAAGGTAAAATATAAATAAGAATATTATGAAACTGATATTAACATGATAATAAATCGTAAAATACTTAAAATAAAATATTTTCGCAGTTGAGAGTTTCTTCCGACAACTTGATTTTTAAAAAAAAATCTTTCAAAACTTCTTACTCACTATTTTATTTGCAAAAAAAAAAACTCAACATATTAAATATGATTTTTTTTAATTAAATAATACGAGGTAAATCAAGAAATTTTATATAAATTTTTCCAATAATACTTATTCAAAATAAAGAAAAAAAATCGTTAAAAATTTTCTCAAATACTCTTCCCGAATGCTCCCTCGTGATAGCTCCCTCCTGTGATTGCTCCCTCCTTCAATCTTTTTTTGTGTGTGTGTGTGTTTCAATCAGTTCGTTCTACCCCCAACTCATAAACATATATAATTGAAAAAATTAATTTTTTATAATAAAGTTGTTTTCCCTACGTCAGCTGGGCATGGGAATCTGAAGCTGCATGGGAAAGGGCTGAAACGCATGGGGAAGGAGATGAGTTGACCGGACTTGAGCCTTGGGACGACATGCAGCTGCTTCAGAATCAGTGTTGCCATGCAAGGACGACATGCAGAGAGCTTTGGAAAGAAGCATTGGCAGTCTATGAGTCTTCCCTCTGGAGCCAAAGAAGTGCTGCCATCCATGATTCTTCTCCGATTGACCTGAAGACGCGCTGCACTTCTTGGATCTTCTGAAACTACATGGAACATCAGACGTCTTCACTCAGCTACTGTAATATTCATTCTATCTTGAAAATAATCTTGATGTTGGATTATTTTGGGATTTTTTTTTCAAAAGATTATCTCAGCCATTCCCCCCCCCCACACACACACACACACACACACACATATATATATATATATATATATGTTAAGTATATATATATATATGTTAAGGTATATTTAACATAAAATCAAATAATTATATAATTATGCAAAATAACTTTGATCTCGACTCACCTTCATCGAAAAATGAGAATTAAAAATCTATCGAATACTTTCGGTTTTCAAAAATTCTTCATATTAATTAAACTACGATTTTAATCGAGAAAATTACATTTGATTAATCAGATTAAACATCTAAATATAGAGTATTACATTAGATTTACATACTTACTAATCAATATCTCTTGTATGTTATCTTAATTTGATATGACCTTTGACACGATTACTGTTAAATTTTCATGATTTTTTAAAACTAAAATAATTATAAGATAATCATATTCATTTAATTTGTTAGCTTAAAGTAATCACACTATTCATAGACTTGACATTAGGGATGGGTAGGTCCGTTGAAGTTTTTGCTGCCCCGACTCGGACTTAAAAATATATATCTTATACCTGATTCTATCTCGTCTCGATAAATATATTAATATTTTAAAATAATTAAAATAATATATTTATAATTATTTATTATATTTTAAATGATTAAAATAATATATTTTATTATAACTTTTATATTTTTAATAAATATAGAATATATTTTAATAATAAAAAATAAAAAATCCTAAAATATTAAAATAATATATATAAGGATAAATTATTAGGTAAGGTTGGATCAATTTTTTCAATTTAAACCTGACCCTTACCCCAAAGTCATATACTTTATAACTCTCATCTCGTCTTAAACCTCAAAATTTCAACGACAAAAAATTATCCCTTTAAAATTGAATCGGGTTAGGACTCTTCGTGTTCGAATATTTTGACCATCTTAACTTGACACTGATATTAAAGTTTACTATAAAACTCTAATTATCAAATTGATAATATATTTTAAAATTTTAGTTAAAATATTATAAAGTTTGGGAATAAGTTAGAAGTTTGACTCTAGCTTGAGGACGTTGATAGAGTTAATCCTTAGTTTATATCTTACGCTTTCATCTTCCTGTCCTCATCTGTGTCTGCGTTTGATCAAAGCCGAGAAGAAAAAAAATCCAAAAATGCGTAATCGGTCACAAATCTCTCTGTGCAAATGCCTTCTGAGATACCCTTTTGAATCATATCCAAAGCCCACATCTTCGTTACTCATTAACTCGCTTTCAGCGATTCCTATTCAATTCGTCCACAACTCAGCCCCATGCCCAAAACCCAACCTTCTTCAATACCCAACGTTCCAAAACTCACCAAGCCAACACATAATCCACCAAAATCATAGGAAGTACAGCACTGGGTCAGCATCCGAGTTGGATGTGAACAAGGAGGTCGATTCAATCAACCTCAAGTTTGCAGAAGCAAGAGAGGAGATAGAGATGGCAATGGAGTCCAAAGAGACTGTTTATTTCAACGAAGAAGCGGAATGTGCTCGCGCTGCTGTTAAAGAGGTTCTGGACATGTTTGAAGGGCTTCTGGCGAAGCTACCCGAGTCGGGAAAGGCGGCTTTGCAGCGCTCAATGGGACTCAAGATTGAGCAGTTGAAGGCTGAGCTTCAGCAATTGGATGATTGATTAGGTCAATTCGAATGGGTTTCTGCTCAAAATCAACGCGTTGAATTTGCTTTGCTTCATTTGTCACACTTGATAGAGAATTAGAGATGACGGATTAGTGACTTTAGAAGTGACCTTTGATTTTGTTGAAAAAGAATTTGATTTTGAATAAAGTGTTAGTATGCTTTTAGATTCTATGGTTATGAATTATGTTTTAATGGTGATGATAAATGAAATTATGTTGCACTTAAGAGGAAACTCTTTTAGAAATTTTGTGAACTTGTATAATCTAAGATGACGGTGCATGCTTATTGTTTCTTTATCTTATATATTTCAGTAGAATTGATGGCTTCTTTGGTAGTAATGCTCAGACTAGGCTGGTTATTGATTTTTCCTCAAGTTCTTAAACATTTTGGCCATGTTTTAACCTGATATTTGGTGGCTTGTTTCTGAAGTTGGAAATTTTAGTGCTACCACGTCGATCTTTTAGGTTTTAGCTGTAGATAACTTGGCTGGGTGTAGTAGTTCAGATCTGCAGATGCAAAACTGGAAGATATTGGTATTACTTCTAGCCCGATAATCGAGGGTTTCGGCGAGTCTCTTTGGCTCTTACCATCCCTTGCGTTCATCCTTTCTCTCATGATCTGATCTTTCATCTCAAATTCTCAATGATTTGGATTTTGAGGCTGTGCCCTTCACCGTTTCCACTTTCCAGTGAGCTTGGTTCTCTCCATCAACCTTTATTTCCAGTTTTTCCCCCCATTTAGACTGTGTTTGAACCTGAAATTAGATGCCTTGTTTTCAAAGTTGGAAAGTTTGGCGTTACCTTGTCTTTCGCACATCGAGTCTTCACCCTTTCTCTTTAACTAACTTAATTGTTTTCTCTGTCGATCTGATCTTCCATCTCCATGGTTCGGACTTTGAGGTTGGATCCTTCACCATTTCCACTTTCCAGTGGGTTATGTTCTCTTCTCCATTGACCCCCTTTTTTACTCTTTTTTTGGATTTTTCATTCAAGTTGGTTCACTTGGTGCTACATAGCCTACATGTACCCTGCTTTCTCTTCAAGACTGAGTTTGGGCTGAAGCCTCTCGCGGTGATTGTGCGTCACCGTCACTAGAGTTTTAGATTTCATGCAGGTACTTGGCTTAGAGGCAAGCCAAGTGCCCTTATATTTTATAGCCTTAGGTTTTATTGAGTTATTATGTTTAACTTGGCTGCTTGGAGGCCTTTGTATACTTGTTACGTTGTTGATGCTTAATATTTCCTTCTTGCTTTTGTTCTTTGCATACATATCTTTCATTTCTTCTCTTATTTTGATAGTGCTTAAGGTGATGCTCTAGGTTTATGTAGTAGTAGGCTGTAAGCCGAAATTTAAATAGCCGTCCGCAACCACAATAGGACTTGCTATAACGGTAGCGATGCCCTCCACGACCGTTATTATAAGACAGTGATACCCGCAATCACTGCAATAGCCCTCCCTGTGTCCGCAATCGTGATAAATATGACACGACCGAAAACACAACCGTAATTTGAATCCCTGGTTGGCTGTAAGTTACCATAGCTTATGGCATACTTAGGCAAACCCATTAGATTTCTTCATTAGGTAAAGGCCAAAACTTTTCATTTGATTAAGCTAGTAAACCTATGTATTTCCTTCCAGTGCTGTACAACTTTATAGGGTCAATTAAGCACTCGATTCAAACAAAAACATTTCCTTCCATAATCTAAGTCTAGTCAGCACTCAGCAGGCACTCATAATGCAAGGCAATTAAGATATGGTTAAGCATAAAACCCAGAAAACCAGAGAATCATAACACCAATATTTGTTACAAACAGAGATCATGTTGATGCATCGATACTTTTACTTCGATTTCCTTAGAAGCATGTCTCTTTCCGACTATCTGAGGTAGAATGCAGGGAAGAACATATTTCTCTAGTTCCAACAGAATGGCCAAAGTGTTCTTTTCCTTCCAGAAATCATCATGTAGATTTTGCATGCAGTCTGGGAAATATAAGACCCAAGTCCTCCCTTTTTAGAAGTAAATATTCCAGCATTCCGACCTCAAAACTCAACTTGATTCATTCTATCCCTCAAATTTGAACCACTTCCAATTTGCATACAGACTTTCTTCATTCTCAAAGGATAAAGCATCAGCTGGTAGAGGTTCGATATTTCGAGGAGCAGAAACTGGAGGTAGATTTTGCCTGTACTTCTTTGCCATCTCTTCAGCCTCGGAAAATACCCTCTGTGGTAGCATATATTATCAATTATTGTAATTAATATAAACCATACTAGGCATTACTGATAAAAGAAAAACTTCACCTCTTTGTTCGATATAAATAGGCCAGGTTCACTTTCAAGATCAGCGGTACTGCAAGATGCGTGAGAAAATCACATTACAGTTGAGAAACGAAACACATTGTAAATTTTGGTTATGCGCCATTGTAAGTGCAAATATACTTTTTGTGCATGCATGTGTCTATTTGCAAGTAATCTTCCAACTTTTCGTCGTGATCTAAACACTCGGAATGTAAAGATCTAAACACGGTTCTCAATTACCTGAGAGATATTTTGTCAGGAAAGAGTGACTTCACGACGAGAACCTTGACCTTCTCGTCCTCTTTAAGCAATTCAGCAACAGAAGTAATTCGGGATTTGCTCATATTTGAAATATGGAGCAACCCGCTGCGGAACAGTTAAAATTTAACTCAAATTTTATGGCCATGGCACAAGAAAAATTGTTAAAATTTAACATATAAACCAAAGAAATACAAACATACAATTAAAATAGAGTAGCATATAAATAACTAAGACCCACAAGAAAGTAGTCGACTAGAGTCGACAAGGGTTCCTTGTTATTGAACAAACAAGGTTGTGCAATATCTACATGATAAATATAACTGAAAATGAATGTTCAAAATGTGTAGGTCATTCCTTAGTTTTTTTACACATTCATCGTCTCAAACCTCTTCCCAGGCTCACTGCATCCCTATTTCCAACTCTGTTATCTTATAAATCATCTCAAACCTTTCTTTTCTTTACTTAAACACAAATCTCATTGATTTTAATGATCTCTACACGATATAATAAAAACGGAACAAATCAAATGCTTTGTATTAAACTTGATATTAGGGTGAAAAGAATAAAAGTAGTTTTCTACCAACCTTCTATTGGAATCGCCTATTCTTACTTGGGCTCCATACGGTAAAACTTTCACAACAGTTCCTTCTAAAAGTGTTCCATCTCGAAGATGCATCATTTCCTGCATCATTTTACCGTGACATCATCCTTAGCCCCCTTGTTCTTAAATAAAGTGACAGAAATTGCATCTTCAATGGAAAGACGATGAGAAATAGAGAGGTCATCGTAACTAACCCAAGCTTCCCTCTCACTCAAGATTAAATCATTGTTAGCCTCATTTATTCGAGTAACTTTCACATGCATTCTGCGGCCCACCTACGATAAAAATAAACAGAATGTCTTAAGAAGCACAGAATCAGTGAAAGAAGCAAAGATAAAACAGACATATATCCGATTCTCTAATTATTTCCTTCTTATCACCAAAACGCTTCTCTTCTTCTTCTTCTTCTTCTTATGACTATCAAATTAAGCAATATATTCTTCTTCATTTTTCTGATATCAGATCTATTTTTAAGTCTGGAACTCCGCATTTCATACCTGTTCGTGTTTCTAATTCTTCAATTTCTAATGCATTACTTCATAGATCATAAACCTTATCTGTTCAAACTGTTCTCTTCAAAGAATGTTTTCAACAGAACAGTAGTTTAGTAATGCATATAGTTCAACTATTACCATCTTTCCAAATAACAATATTATGTCCTTGATACTATGAGCCAAATCTCCTACATTCAATCATACTAGGAGAATTTCAACTATAAAAACATATTCCATTATGAGAAGCACTACCTAAATTCATAATAGTTCAACTATAAGTGGCTAAAATGTCATTGGAGCATGAAGGTAGGCCATTGCACAAAACGGAAACAGATCTCGGTTACTGAAATTTCCATGACAAGGCACTTACATATTCCTTCAACTCAGAGAAGTTATTTATTCTCTTCATCAACTCAGCTTTTGGAAGGAAAGCTCGTAAACCCTGCAAGATAATCAATGTAGGAGAAGTGTTTCATATAGAATTTGCATGCAAATCTACATAACAGATATGGGACACACGAACCTCGATTCTTGTCAGCAAGCCACCTGTGTTCCACTCTGTAAATTTAACCTCTATAGGTTCGTTGAGTTGTTTTATCTGGCCAAAGTTCATATTAAATAATTCGTTAAGCTCAACAATTGGAGACTCTTTAAGGTTATCAGGATGCTAATCTTTCATAGTTAACAAGCTGTCAACCGATCTCCATTCTTGTTTATGTTCAAAAGCAACTACAAAAGTCCTAAAGCATCTCAAAACCATAAAAATCAACAAATTTACCATGAAGGAAAAGAAAAAAAGTGAGAAAAGAACCTGCCTCACTCGATGCCAGGCAATCCTCCTGAAGATCCGTCTAGTGGAGAGCAAAGGCCGGCCGCTAAGTGTTCTTCCAAGAACCTCGGCAAACAGCACAGTCCCGGTCTCAACCACCGGCCTTCCAGGAACTGTTGCCCCACTCATCGCATCATCATCCTTAACAATTCCCATCTTCCCATAAACCATAAACTCCTCAGTTCTATTTTCCAAATCACACATCAAATAATCTATCTCTTTGTCATACAAAGGCAGTACGTCTTTCGTCAACATCGTACCCAACATGTCGGCCCCAACATTCACATCGAGTTTATTCTCATTACCAGAAACAACAACACCAACCACAAAATCACCAGGTTTTGGCTCATAGTATTCAACACCAACCTTCTTCACTTCATCACTTTCCTCCTCAGAAACACCTAATTCACCCTCGTCTTCTACTTCTAATGATTCAGCGGGCCTAAAGAACTTCAAAAAAGGCTCCAAGGCCTCATCTTTACCAAGTTTCTCAGATTCTTTATCAACATTAGAGACAAACCCATTATTAAAAGCTGTTGGTCTAGGCTTATTAAGCAGTTCAACCTCCTCATTATCTTCAATTCCACTGCCATTTTCAAGTCCTTCGGGCATCCGGGTACTTGAAAACTCATCAAAGGTTTCATTTTGAGAGCAAAACACAATCTGGGTACATCTTAAAGACGCAAATTTCCACGAAAAATACAAAGGTTTCGGTGCCCCGGTGGCGGTAAAGGGGTAACAAGTTCTTTTAAGAGAGTGTTGCCACTTTGGGGCACCATTAAAAGCAAAGAATTGAGTTGAAAAGTTGAGAAACGAGAAAGACCTACAGGGTTGAAGCAGGGCTTGTTGCATCCTCCTTATCCTGCTTGTACTTCGGGAGCTCTCTTAAATTTTTGGATTTAAGAAATTGATTTTCTTTTGATATTTCTCTCACTGTATCAGAAGAGTTTGGATACTTGGACTTTCCATGGATGTTATATCTTCCACGCTTCATTATTTCAAGCCTTTCGTAGGCCCATTTTTAGAACTGGGTATGCTTTTTTAATGGAGCCTTCAACCCAATTAAGATTTTTTTTTGTTTTGTTTGAGGGGTTCTATTATTAAAGAATGATTAAAATATAGGTAAAGTATACATATGATATCTCAACTATAAGGTGTTATTTTATTGAGTATCTGGCTATTAAAAGCTATAAAATGATTTTTCGATTGTTCATTTGTTCCAAACTCATCTTTTTCTTTTAAAAAATTGGTGATCATCTGAGCTGAAAGTTAATATGTTGACTGGGATATGATAAAATTATATTTTAATGATGTTTATTGACACTTCCGTTGCTTTTAAGCGCTGGCTCGACGGTATAATATTTCAAGCATTGGTTCAACGATAGAATGTAAATGGAGAATTGATCCACAAACTATAGCTCAAACGATTATGGGATCAGATTTTATCATATATCAGTCAACATGCTTACGTCTAGCTCAGAAGACCATCAATGTTTTTAACGGAAAATGATGAGTTTCAAACATCTAAATACTCAGGTGACTATTTTGTAACTTTTAATTGTCAATGATTTAAAAAAAGCAGCGTTTTATAATTGAATGACTATTTTATAACTTTTAATAGTTGATAGACTCAACAAAACAATGCTCTATAATCGAGAGACCATTTATGTACTTTAGCTTTAAATATTATAAGAGAAAGTTTGTATAAATATATATAAATATTCAAAAAATAACAAAAATATCCACCTCAAGTTGGCCTACTAAGATAAGGGATTAAGTATTTTATACAAAATCAAATATCTAAATTTGATATTTTAAATAGAAAAAAATAAATTAAGAAAGACTTTCATAATAATCATTAACAATATTCAATCTGATTTAATTAATCAAACTACTAAAAAGTTTATTTTTATTAAATACATTTTTATTATATTCACATTTTTATATAGTAGCATGGATGAATTGAGAGGGACAAGTGGAGATAGTCGTTTCCCTCAAACTTTAAAGTTGTCAAAAATATTTAGATATTTTTCATGTATTTTCTATTAAAAATCTATTTTCACTTTTTTTAAAATTTTATAAATTTGTCGCTCCTAAAATTTTAAAATTTCATACCTTTACAGTAAAGTTTCACGCTTGTCCCTATACAGTAGAATAAAAATAAAACAATTTCATAAATTTATAGAATTATATTTTAACCATCTAAACGTTTGATTTATTAATATAATGACATTTTTCTTAGTCATCAAACTTCAAATCGATATGTTATTTATCTTATCGATTTAATTGAAATTCCTTATTATAAGAATCAAGAAAGCAATGAAATAATAGAATGCTTGTATTTCATATATTAAGAAAGAATTATACACCAAACTGTTTATATACAAGAACTATGAACTATCTAACTACCAAAGCTCAACAGAAAAACTAACTAACAGTTAACCTAAACTAACAAATGGTTAACTTAACAGATTAACAAATAATACATCTTAATACCCCCTTCAAGATGGGACTACATGGATATTAAGAAGACCAAGCTTGGCAATAAAATTATGATGCATGGGAGCCCGAAGAATCTTTGTAAACACGTCAGCTTGCTGATCTGAAGAAAGAACATGGAAAAGCTTCAAAAAATCAGTCTTAACCTTGTCGCGTAGAAAGTGACAATCAACTTCAATGTGTTTAGTTCGTTAGTGAAAAACTTGGTTGGTTACCAAATTAATCGCAGCTTAGTTATCAAAATACAAACGAACAAAATCGATGAAGATTTGAAAAGAGGACAGCAAGGAAGTAAGCCAAACTAGCTCACAAGTGGCTACTGCTATAGTCCAATATTCTGCTTCACAGAAAGATCGACTAACAATGGCTTGCTTTTTTGATTTCCAATAGACAATGTTATCACCCAAAAAAACACAAAACCTTGATGTAGACCGTTGAGTATCCGGGGAAGAACCATAATATGAATCAACAAAAACACTCAACTGAACACTAGAGTGAACTGTAAAAAGCAATCCAAGCCCAGACGATTGTTTAATATAAGCAAGAAGATGTTTCAAAGATGTCATGTGAGGTAGACGGGGAGAATAAACTAATTGACTTAGAAAATACACCGTATGAACAATGTCGGGCATGGTGTTAGTTAGGTAGAGAAGTCGACCTATCAACCGACTATATTCTTGAGGATCAGGAAATGGTTCTCCTTCATTAGCACTCAACTTCAAGGAATGAACCATGGGAGAATCAACTGGTTTCACACCCAAACATCCTACATCCTCGAGCAACTGCAAAGCATACTTTCGCTGAGATAAAGAAATTCCAAATGTATTTTAAGCTACCTCAAATCCAAGAAAATAACATAAAGTGCCTAACTCCTTTACCTTAAAATGTTATTGTAGAAGACTTTGAATTATATAGAGCAGCTGCAAATCTGCACTAACAATTACAATGTCTTCCACATAAACCAAGAGAGAAACAAAAGCGTCATCAGATCCTTTAGTGAACAAGGAATGTTCAACATGTGATTGTTGAAAACCAAACTTGAGAATGACACTTGAAAAAGCATTGAACCACTACCGGGAAGCCTGTTTAATCCTGTAGATAGACTTTTGAAGCTTACAAACCATGTTGTCACCCTTGAGATCAGACATGTACCCAAGAGGCAATTTCATATAAACTTCCTCATCGAGAACCCCATTTAGAAAAGCGTTATTGACATCTAATTGAAGCAAATGCCACCCTCATACTGCTGCAAGAGCAAGCAATAGCCTGAAAGAAGTCATTTTAGCAACAGGCGAAAATGTATCCATGTAATCAATCCCTTCAACCTGTGTAAAACCCTCAATCAACCCATCAGCCTTATGCTTAATTCGATACACCCACTTGCAATCGATAGAATTCTTGCCTTCAGGTAAAGGAATGATAGATCAAGTGTTAAGAGACTCCATAGCTCGAAGTACATCATCCATAGCATCTCTCCAAATGGAAGACTTGACAGCCTGATGATAAAATGATTGCTCACATTGAGAAGAAATGTTAGCAATGAAACCACTGTACCCAGAAGACAACCTTGAAGAAGATAAATAATCTTCAATGGGATAATGACATTGAGATAAAGCATTATTACAATAATAGCGTTGAAGATAGAATAGTTTGTGAGAAATATGAGAATATTATCGAACGGACTGTGGAACCTCATCAGGAATTGTTTGCGCTGCAATACTTGCTTTGCCAGAAACATCATAAACATCAGATTAGCCATTGTGTTCCTCCAAAAGAATGTCAGTATTAGTCTGTGTAGGCTGAGTTTCGAAAACTTGTGAGTAATTAACCGAATCTCGCACAACATGTGATAAACAAAAATCCTGGAAAATATCAATAGAATGATTAGGCAATCAAACACTTTGAAATTGAAAAATGTTCTCATGAAATACCACGTTGCGAGAAACCATAAACTTCTGAGTTTGTAGCACATAAACCCGATACCCCTTTACACCAGGAGGATATATAAGAAACACTTTAGGTAAAACACTAGGAGAGAATTTTATTTGCCTGTGATTTCAAAGTGGAGACGAAACAGAGGCATCCAAAAGTTTTCAAACGCCCATAATCCGATAAATGACCATATAAAAGCTCGTAAGGAGACTTATTTTCCAGAACAAGTAAAGGCAGTCGATTAATCAAGAATGTAGCAGTTAACAAACAATCACCCCAGAACTTAATTGGCACTTTTGACTGAAAATATAAAGCTCTGGCAATAGACAACAAATGCTAGTGTTTCCTCTCAACCACAAAATTTTGTTGAGGTGTTTCTGCACAAGAGAATTGATGCAATATTCCCAAACTAGAAAATAACTCATTATATTTCAACTCGGGTGCATTATCAGACCTAAAACGCTTAACATCAAAACCAAAATGTTGTTCTGCCATAGAAATAAACCCAGGTATTATTGAACTAACATCATATTTGTGTTGTAACAAATAAACCCAAGTAGATCTAGAAAAATCATCGACCAAAGTAAGAAACAAAGTCTGATTCGAATATGTTTTATGCTTATAAGGTCCCCATATGTCACAATGAATTAGTTCAAAAGGTTGCTTAGCATGAGAACATGAAATAGGAAAATATAATCTTTGTTGCTTAGCCAATGGTCAAACTTGGAAAGTATTTCTTGCATTTACAGTTTTTAGAAATAAAACATCTTTAAGAAGATGTGATACATGCACCAGAGTCCAAAATACATGCTTCTTTGGACTAATTTTTCTACTTGAACCTATTAGAAGAACAAAGTCTCGAAGATTCAAAGCATATATATTCAGTAAGCATAATGTGAATGAATCATTAAACTATTCTAATGTTGTTCCCTTTAATGTTTCAAATTTGAGGTCGAATCTTTTTGAATAAAGGGAGGATGATACATGCATCGCAAGGCTCACATCCAAGGAAGAAGTAATAACTCTTCCAAGTGATCCACTCGTCCAAGCTTTGGAAAAAAAGATCAAAATAACAACAGACTTACGACGACTTTTTGAATGGGATACTGATCTTATTTGGTCAATATGTCTTCTGGATATAAAACATTTTGTCTCTTATCTTTCCAACGGTTCTTGAATCGCATCAATCCTATATCGGAAACTCAATATACGTTCATTTTAGTGAAGACAACGCATGCATACATCCCTATACGAGATTAATACGTGATTTTGTAAATATTACGAATTTTCAATATTTATATTGATTATTTGTAATATAATTTAATATAGGATGATGCATTATATTTTAGGATTAGATTTATAATTTTATTAGGAATTAAGGTTGGGTTAAAATATTATTATTAGTTATTATTATTTTAGGAATTAGAGTTAAGTCATGTTTAGTTTATTATTATTTTATTCATTAGTTATTTAAGATCTTTAGAACTCAGCCCATATATAAAGGAGGCTTCATTAAACTTTTTAAATCATATTTCTTTGATTAATAATACAACGAGAGTTCATTTTTGCAAGTGTTGATTGCCTTGTGCCTTCGAAGCTTCTTATCCTAGAGTCTTTCAAGTTCTTGTGAGCGAGATTAATCTTCACACTCCAATTTGCCTTTTCATCACGACTAGGAGGGTTGGTTAGAGCCATATTATCGTGTTTGCCTTTTCATTGCGACTAGGAGGGCTCGATATGATACTTATCCATCTATTTTCCACAAATACATCCTCACCATCATCATCTTTATCGTTCACCTTAATAAGGGAGATCTTTTGATTTCTTGGTTATCATACTTTATTTTAAATTTCTTTATATTTTGTTTATATTGTTATAATCTTGTTTATTACCTTGTTTCCAACACTTAAACTCTAAAACATCCTAGTTACTATGACCACCTCCCCCTATTCATCCCCCTTTGTTCTTCATCGAGTCTAGAGCTTTCTATGTTTGATTCTTCAACAAGAGCAACGTTTATTAACCCACCACCACTTCCCTATCAATTGATATCATATTTGGGTCGATTCTTGGAAAGAATCTAGCAATCTTGCTTATTCTTGCACACAAAACCGTCAAGGTACCCCAAAGTAGCTAGTTCACAAAATATTCATCATTTCAAGTTACAAAAATTGAAAACAAATTACAAAAGAAATAATTTAGGGCTAATTTTCTCCAAATCTTGTATGAATTCTAATATTAATATCCATTCCAAAATTCTCCGCAATCGGAGTTCATTAGATCCTTCAAATATATCATTCAAGTTACATCAGCAGATTCAGGATAGAATCTTGTCGAATTTCTTGAAAATTATACAGGTTTAATTTCGATATGAAAATTTCTATATTGAAACTTAATATATTGAATATCATTCAAACAAAAAATCAGAATTTTTGGAGATCAAGAACACCTTCGAACAAAGCGATCAAGAAAATTAGATTCTTTGAGGACTCATCGTTCAACAGAGTCTACTGGATACTACTAAAAGTATTTGGTTCTGAAATTTTTCAGATGGTTTCTTGACACATCGAAAGATGTTCAAGAATTTTTCCAAAATTTTTGGACATCGGTAACCCCTAAAAAATATTGCTCAAGTTAATCCATCGTTTTCTAGGTTTCTGGGTTGGTTCTTTTTTCTTTGACTCTTAGTGCTTTAGGTTCTTTTGTTTTTCATTTTTATTGTTCTTTTTCATTATCTAACACATTATCTTCCTTGTGTTAGTAGGACTAAAGAGTTTGCATACTTCTTCCTTCTTTGCATTCTCGTTCTCTTGGAGTCTAACATTTGTTTAACCTCTCAGAGCTTTTTTTTTCTTATCACCTTTGCTAGTAATAAAACTCCGATACGAACTGTGGAAGACTACTTGGTAAAGTGAGTTTTAAAGAGTACAAGATCGGCTTACTTGCCTCTCGTTGTGTTACTTTCTTGGAGTGACTTGTGAGGTTTCTTGCTTTGTTGAATTTTATTTCTTTTATTTTTTATTTTACTTTAAAATTTTATTTTGAGTGTTATGATTTAAGGATGGGTGACAATAATAACAAGACACTTACGGCTATCTTAGCCGCACTGGCCCGACTCACGACTCAAGTTGAAAGATTTGATGAAACTGTGAGAGAACGACAAGAACCACAATTGGATCTACCAAACCAGAATCCAAGACCAAACAATGTTGAACTTTTGGTACCCATGAGAGAACAACCAAGTTTCCAAGCACCCGAACTCTTTGCAAAACCAAAGTTCACGATCCCGTCTTTTAAATGAGACAACGATCCGGACATGTACATCAATTGGGAAGGAAAAGTTTATCTCATGTTCTCATACCATGACTGCCCCCAAGCTAAACAAGTTACCCTCATCACCATGCAATTCGAAGGATATGCTCGAACTTGGTGGATGCAAACAAGGAAAAAGATCGAGAACTTCCAAATTCAAGCAATCACTTATTGGACCGACCTCAAACAAACCATGAGGAAAAGATTCCTACCGACACATTATACGCGAGAAGTTAAACTACGACTACACCGACTTCGACAAGGTAGAAGTTCTGTTGAAGACTACTACAAGGAGATCCATTCCTTACTCAATAGGGCTAACATAATCGAAAAAGAAGAGGTCACCATGTCAAGATTTGTCATCGACTTAAACTCAAACATCACTGATCTTCTTGATCTCCATGGGTACGAAAACCTTGAAGATACACTAAATAAAGCAATGACAATCGAAGCATAAATCCAAAGGAGATTCCGATTCAGAGAACATTACCAAGGTACTTCACCCTCTTACCAAGGTAATCCTTCAAGCCCTTCCTCATCTTCTACTCCATCTTCTCTAAAAAAGCCAAGAGATCGACTTAAACTCAAACATCACTGATCTTCTTGATCTCCATGGGTACGAAAACCTTGAAGATACACTAATAAAGCAATGACAATCGAAGCATAAATCCAAAGGAGATTCCGATTCAGAGAACATTACCAAGGTACTTCACCCTCTTACCAAGGTAATCCTTCAAGCCCTTCCTCATCTTCTACTCCATCTTCTCTAAAAAAGCCAAGAGATGACAAAGTTGACAAGGAGAAAGAACGACCAGCAAAGAATGACACACTTCCATCCCCTAAAGATCAAATGATAATTTGTAAGGACGTAGAGAAAGCAAAAAAAGAAAAATCTGAGAAAGAGGCAAAACCAAAAGAGGTCATTAGTTACAAAAAGCCAAAAGAATAATGACCCATGGGAGGTGAGTGAACCTAAATGTGAGAAGAAAAGAGTGACTCAAAATCTATGTGTGAGCACAAAAAAATTAATAGAGAACCTTCTTTACAAATAACCTTGCATCCTTATTTGCTTTAGGGAATCAATTGTTTCGATTTATAACATTAACAAGGATTTGCCTAGTGTGTTTTCATATTTTTTATAGGATTTTCGAGAAATGTTATATGATATACCTAACGAATTACCACTGAAAAGAGGAAAACAACATAAAACCAATCTAATTCAAGGTTCCATCATACCTCATTAAACATACAATCTTGAAGAAACCAAAGAGTTAGATTTGTTACAAAAATGCTACATCCATGAAAGCCTTATTCGTGATGTCATTTTAATGACGAAACATGACTTAAAAAACTCCACATGCTTTATAGTTCGTGCATAGAGAATCGATGTAAATAATGAGAAAGTAAAAGCAACACGAGACTGGCCCACACCATCTTCCATTGCCAAGAGTTGTCGAATAGTGCTAGGTGACCCTCCTGACGGGTTACCACTTAAAATCCCTAATCAAGATTTCA